TTTGTAATATTCCAGCAATATCTCGGGGGTGGCCTCACAAATTATGCAAATATGGGAAATTGAATCCGGATCCACGAGCGAACGCTTTAACCACTAGCCAAGCAAACCGACCCTCCATGATCAACGAGGACACGTGACCAGAACATAATTTGTTAAATATCAAGCACATTCCTATGGTTGTTTTCATATATGGACACAGCAGATAATTTCATATATGCTTTCATTCGGAAAGTGAAGTATGTGTATATATAACATTTTATTTTCTAGCATTGCCATTGAAAAGCATAGTTTTATTACTTCCTTTTTTAAAACTGTTTATGAAGAGAGAATACAATGCAACCATTCTGAATAACACATATAAGATTCAGATTTAAGATTCACAAATCGTAATCGAGACGGGAAGCTATATGAGGACCTTAGGAGAACGCATAACTTGTCAGTTGACACGATTTATCATCAATGAAGATCTTACCGGACCCGAGCAGCGCAAGGTCGAAGGGCCTGCCAACTGGTCTTGTATAAGAAAGTTGAGGCGTCATGGGTGACCAGCGGGGTCATGCATCCTCATTAAGATGGGGACGGGTGGGCGAGAAAGGTGGCAACAGCACTTCGATGAAGTGTGCGAGTCTACTAAACTCAAGGTGGTGATTAATCTGAGTCAAGACAAATGAATACCATTACAGTCATGAGATAACTTGTTTGAAATACCCATAATGCCCTTGCACGATCTCATGAACAGTTACTGTCGATAGTCATCATGACTCCATGCTTTACATATGTTAACATCAGTATAACTGTGCATAAAACTGTGTTGTTTACAGTAACATTGCACTTTTGCAGAGATTCACATGTGATGTAAATGAACAATTTATATGATTTAGATAAATATGATGATATGTGCTCATGAAGTTGTCAATGCCTCCCTTCACGTCTTCAGTCAGTGACACGCACCGCCAGATGTTAACGATGTACGCGCTGCGAATGTTGTGAAGCATGTGCACGTGAGTGTGTATCCGTGCTCTACATGCTATGTAACGGTTCTGTCTACTACAGACAGACAACACGTACTTATAATAGATCGTCCATACAAGTAAACTGTGAGCTTCCTCCGATGATAACGAGTCCCATTGTACCAACTTGATGTTTATGCATACTATGATGTTGCTTGCTTGGTTCCTCATTTCATTAAAATGCACATACGAATACACATTTGTTTGCATCTTTAACCAGGTGTAATCTTGAATACGAGTGGACGTTGCTTAGCATAGCATTGACTACATGCATAATACGTTGTGTAGTATATGTGCAACATATACAGTATTGCAGTATGCATATTACAGTAAGGGCTGGACAGAAGAGCGAATAATATCGGTCTGTGACTGTGATACAGACTGGGACAAGGTATGGAAAACCAACAATTTGGACAACAGACCATTGTTTGGGTATTTTAATTGTAAATATGATTCAAATAGCTTAACCTAGATTTCGATATCCTCGAATGTACATTTGGTTGAAACTGGAAAATATACATACGCTCAATTCCAAGTGTCTCCAGGTCACTGAGAATCATTTGTGTAGGGGCTCGTTTTGCAATTCTCGTGCGTTTGCATGTGTTGTTGACGCGGCATGGACGTCTTGTAACATCACTATTTGATTATGATTCACAAACACATGCTCATGATATGGTCGGAATCATGCCACGGATTAGCAGATATTTATCATGAAAACAGGTTTTTATCTAAGTTGCTTGAAACTTGCTTTTACAAAGGCCAAATAGATTCGATCACAATACTTTTCGTGTTACAACTTCTTTTCTCTTAACATGCTGACCTCAAAACTGATTTAAATTCTAATCGCTGATTAAAGAGTAAGACAATAAATAGTATGCCAAATTATCGTTACCATGACAACCCTGTGATATTTCACCTTATGTAAGAGAGGAATACATACGATGCTAGGTATGGCAGTACTACTGGAGCTGATAATGTCTGTCGTAAATTTTAATAAGTTGCTTCAACGCTATCACTAATCACTGGGTATGTATACAATTATATGTGTGATGGAGGAGATCTTGCGTCGCTAGTTTTCCCAATAATCTGAATACATGTATGTAGCGTGAAACCGGCAGATACCTATAGAAGAAAGTGTTTGCCGTACCTGTAACAACGATGTCCCATGTCTATAGAAGGGATATAATATGGGGATGAATGGCATGTACTTTTATCTTGGCCCGTTTATGAAGATAAATACTGTGATCTTTCACAATAATCTCTCTGGCTATCAGATTGAGGTTACTTTTTAAACATAACTGGTATTTCAATTATGTATTTATACAGTAACATTCTTCAAACGTTCTCCACACACGTCCGTCAGATACATCGCGCACTACCCCTTTCTCTTTTGATCTCTCAAACGACTGTTACAAGTTCGGAGAATCCTGGTCAAAGTTGAAACGTCTTAAGACTATTCCCTACTATTCTGTAACATGCACATTGTACCTAAAATGGGTAGAGCTTCCGTTCGGGGGAATATCAGAAGGACAGCGATACACTTGTCTCCAATGTTGTAGAAGACACTCCACTTACTTAGGAAAACAATAACCCAATGAGATATTGCATTCATGTCGGATTCAATTTTTTCGGCCCCTATCAGTTGTGAACTTGAACATGCAAGGTCTGCGTCTATGTCAGACTAAAGGTCTACGAGTTGTTTAGCAGCACTGGGGCGTAATAGTCATATAGGCCTGCTCCAAACAACGGAATATATATCTTTTGAGAAGGACTTCTCCGACGGGTAAAGGTACAGCAATGCAACATTACAAAAAATCTTTTTTTTCACTATTTTTCATTTCATGTCTCACAGAATATATAATTTGATGGGCGAGAGGTTTTAATATCGTTCTAACTTAGTCGAATTAAGTCAAAATGAGCTGAAATTTGTGTCATGATGCTTATAAACATACACTCATTCATTTACAACCTCCAAAACATGAATTCTGAACGAAATTAAACATTCTCGCCAATGGGCCAACATATTTTTCGCCCATGGGCGAGATTTTTTAATATCGCCCTCAGTTAGTCGAATTAAGTCAAAATGAGTTGAATTTTGTGTCTTGATGCTTATAAACATACACTCATTCATTTACAATCTCCAAAACATGAATTCTGAGCAAACTTAAACATTCTCGCCCATGGGCCGGCCCCTGGGCGAGCGAGTTTAAATCTAAAGTTTTCGCAAAAAATATTTTTCATTTTTTCATCCTTGGCATATATTCATAACAACTGCATGCTAAATTTGGTCAAATCACTTGTCAGAAAGTACCCACAGTGCGGAGAGTTTCTGGACTTTTGTGAGTCCAGAATTAAATTGTGACGTGTTAATGACATTTGTTATACTGTTAACACAGCATGGCTAATAGGTGGCAAAGTCTTGCCGCCATCAGTAACATTTGAAACAGATACAATATATTCATTTAATGTTTGAGCTTTATCCAAATCTGTAAAAACTGAAGGTATCCCAGAATCATCAGTGACAAGAAGGGGAGTGGGCCCCGATGAAGTACTAACCATCTGATTGAGTAGACTGAGGTGATAAATAGTTATCAAAATTAGAATAAAAGTTTCCCTTGGCTATTCTTTTCAGATTATTTACTTTGTTCCTTTGCTTTTTGTATTTAAATAGCTCAGAAGTATTCAGAGATCGAAATGCTTTTTTCCTTAGACGTTCTCATTTCTTTTAAGTATGTTACGAGGGGCGTTGAAAAAGTACTCAAACTAACTATATTCTCGTTGCCCAATGTTTGAAAAGAAGCTTCCATTTTATTTTGAAGGAATCATTAGCAAAGTCATATCCAAAATTTCATGTGGGTAATGTGGTTAACGAGATATTAGTCATCACAACATTTGGGTATTATGTTTCTTGCAAATTTGCAGAAAATGGAAAACGATCTCCCATTTGGTATCTAGTAATAGTAATAGTCCGCTTATATGGCGCTCACATCCAGGCACATTGCCTGCTCACGGCTCTACGTACATTACTATCCCCGATCATAGGACACTATCGTAGTTTCCGATACTTTTTCAACTCCCTGGGGACTGTACAGCCATGCTGCATGTTAGGCGCAATGAACTAAACACTCACATTGCCAGCACATACTCACGGGTACCCATTTTACAGCTGGGTGAACTGAGACAGTGTAGATCTAAGTATCATGTCCAAGGATACTACGCAAATGTGCCCATCTCGGGAACCGAACCTCGGTGCCTCCTCGAAACAGGGCCTTCAGCGTGATAGGCAGACGCCTTACAACTGCACTATTGCGCTATCTCTTGAATAATGGTATACCCTCAGATAGTATCATATAAAATATGTTCAGCATAGTATTGGATGACTTCCCGTCATCATCAACATTCAAAGATTTGGATTGCTTGATTTACATTTAGACGGGGACTGTTGTTTTTAGGACACCCTCATTTTAAATTTTCAAAAACATTGTGTCCAGATATACAATATATTGAGAGCTGACACTTGTGTGACCATTCAGCATTTAGTTTGAACCCTTGACACCATGTATGAATAAGTGAAAACTTTAGGATGAGTTATATCCTTATGATGACGTCAACTGAAAGGGGGTGGGTACTGTCTCCAAAACAAGCCCTTTCAGTAACATGAAGGGGGAGTCACTTGAACAAGCGATTATAGTTTAAAATTGCTAGTTTGAGCAGTTTAATATCTATGTTTGACTTTTACCAACATACAACATGTTTTTTGCATATTTTGTTTCAATTGGTGTAGGGTGATTCCCGCCAATACAACTTGATATATAATTGGATCAAAATCTACTAATTCTTTCCTAAGTTCGCGGCTACCAAGCTTGGCATGTGCAAAACTGTTACACCTTCGCTGTGACCTTTAAAATGACCTCAAGGTCACTAAATTCAAGTGGTGTCGGTGAATCTTGCCAATATACCTTGGTACCAAATTTGAACAAAATCCATGATTTCTTTCTTGAGTTATCGCCCTAACAAGCTTATTGTATGTATGAAATGCAACCCGCGTATTTACGAGTGATTAAAACTTTTATTACAATTTACGTAAATATTTATTACATTTTACCGCAACGAAAATTATTACAATTTACGTCAATTTTTATTACAATTTGCGTATTACAATTTACGTCAATGTTTATTACAATTTACGTTTTTATTACAATTTACGTCAAGTTTATTACAATTTGCTGCAAGTATTACAATTTGCGTTTTTATTACAATTTACGTCGTAACAACCCTACGTCGATACTATGAGTTATCCGAGATTCGACACAACCATAAACTGACGAATAAAAAAATCATGACTAGACAACAAGCTAGTACATCGAGCTAGTGTTTGACTGTATTTTCGGGAATAATACTATTTACCCCATGCGTTTATTTCATGGAAGGACTGAACGTCCAACACATAATGTTTACTTTTGTTCGGTACAGTCAACTTTCTTTGCACTCCATTGAAACAACTTTATGTTCTGTTGTATAGCACCGCAGACATGCACAAGCCAAACCGGCCCAGTCATGGGAATTCTTTATAATGAAAATAATTGGCAGGTACAGTGGTAGTACATGAAGCACACTCGACAATGTTATGGCAGACCTCGAGGATCGAAAGTGGTTTTCATTAAACTAGTTTGAAATGTATTAGCAACAAGTGCATTGAACAATTTTATACAACCTACCACAACAGGTTCAAACTGTGTTTTAAAGTAAGATCTTTCAGGAAGGTCTGCACAGTAAAAAGAAGTTACAGTGTTATATTAAGTGAACGAATAAGTCTAAATCAAACTGAAACAAATCTAGTTTCCTTGGTTCCTTTTGAATGATACATATCGCAGTTCTTTTCAAGTAATGCGTTCATGGACTACTATTTAGTTTTTTTCACTAATCACAACGTAGAAAAGCACAGTTAACGCTGTATGGCCACAATCTAGCAATGCCTGCTGGTAATACGATAGCATAAGGACATTACGACATATTGGATCAAACACCAATACACTGGTATTATTATAATAATGATTTCTCAATCATACACACAACGGATTAGAGCAAAATGAGGAAAACTGTCCCTACTTATCTCACTCATATGCAGCTCACAATTGTTAAATACAATGGACAGACATACATGTATTGGCTACCAGGAAGTAACATGAGTAACACAAGTAGGACAAAATGATTTATACATTGTGTGCATTACTGGCCTGAATGCTCTTTGAAACGTTTGCAATACAGTCAATGCATATTTATATGCACGTGCATGTACTGTTTTAAAATTCAATTTTGCTTTTCTTAATCATTATGGTTGCATGATTACACAATGTAATCCGCAGTCTAGACTACCAGTTGTCCGACTTCCATTTGGAAGTCGCCGTGGCTGAGCGGGTTAGGCGGCTGATTTGTGGGCTGGTGATTAGGTGCCTTACTCTGAGGGTGTGGGTTTGAATCCCGGATGGGACTCATCCCAACAAAAGTACTAGAATGTGTAATTTACTAAGAAAGTGTAATCCCAAACATAACATATGTTACATTATGGTTGCATATTTATAATTGTAACAGAAGATACGGAAACAAACCCGTGAGCTTCTTCCACATTCACACAACGGATTGGAGCAAAACTGTGTTTCTCCTCACCTCTTACACCAATAGCTCACAGCTACCTGTCCGTACAGGAGTATATGTGCAGGCGACCAGGAAGTGAATCAAGTGAAACACGTGAGCACCTTGTACACATGTCAGCAGGACAGTCTCTACAAATGTTCTATACAACTATATTGTCACGTCGACCCCCACCTCGCTTCCGTTATGTTACAAGTTGTGTCATGCAAAATCCTTTCGGTCATGATTCAAATACATATTTAACTACGAGTATAAAGTAGTTTTGATTTGCTAATTTGATGAAAACAAACCATAATCTCATTGATTCTCGAAATTTATCCCGTGACGTCAGGATTTTTTAAAATGGCGGTGCCCTGTCGCGAACATCCGCCAGTCTGAGAATAAATGATGTTTAGGTTTGTTTTCACCCACTTACAAAATCAAAACTACTTTCTTTTGGTAGTAAAATATGTATGTGGTTGATGTCCAATACGATTTTGCATAACATAGCTTATAACATAACAATTTCTCTCGTGGATGCGAGGTGGGTGTCAATACAATACTACTTATTGTTACTTCGACCACAACCGCGCTTCCGAGGAAGAAATCGTTATGTTACAAGTTATCTCATGCAAAATCCTTTTGGTCATCAATCATATACATATTTGACTACAACTAGTAAGTCGTTTTGATTTTTTAACTCCCGTAAAATGATCTGATGAAGTAGGATATCGTTCCAGGCTTCCACAACGCTCGCTTCGCACTCACAACATAAACCATTTAGCACGAACTGCGGGGTTCGGTGGAAAGCTGTGCATGGTGACACCATCACCCGACCCCTGGGAGCAATTGACGGCAGGGCAACGATTCGGCATGTCTTCGTTGACGTCGAGAAATCAGCAAAATGACGAGCTTGTTACACATTTTATATAAAACTAACTTAAAGTCTCTCCTCACATAACGTCACTTCCGGGTCACTGCAGTGCTCTGGCGACAGAGTTACGTAACCTCTTTGTGGGTTCGTTGGCGGGCGAGAGTGAAGCAGACGGCTTTTTGGCAACTTTTAATCGCTCGGTATTAATTAACCACAAGTATTTTAAGAATGAATTTGGTGTTCCGCTTAAGTGTACTACACGTCTTTCATATGTAATGGATAAAAGAGTACAAAAAACAAAAGTTTATTCGTTCTTTAAACCAAATTTCAAACGCCTTATTTTCTGCAATATATCGTTTTAAGGGAATCAAACCATTCATCATTGGCTACAGAGTTGTAAAAAACATAAATCTATGCATATCAGGGAAGTCCTTTCACTACATCCGCTACTACGGAGAGTGAGCCGTTGCATAAGAAGTAACAATGACATTGGGGAGCTTTAAGTAAGTCCGTTATTAGGGACTGATGTTCTTTTCACGGGACTGTTGTTGGAAACTATCAACACACCTGCCAATATAAACTACACTTTATCTTCAAAATCGTCAACATCTTTCTGCATTGAGCACACTATATACTACAACACCGACTACTTCTGCTACTGTTACTGCTGTTACTGTTGCATCACCAAATATTGCTATTAGTTAATTTTTAGAAGGGATGGTGGGGTAGCCCATTTGCTGGTGGGGTAGTTGCAACAACAAAGCACTATCGGTTAATTTCTAGTGGTTAAAGCGCTCGCTTGTCACGCCGAAGACCCAGTTTCGAGTCCCCACAAGGACAATGTGTGAAGCCCATTTGCTGCTGTTGTTGTAACAGTTGCAACAACAAGCACTGCTATCGGTTAATTTCTAGAAGGGGTGGTGGGGTAGCCTAGTGGTTAAAGCGCTCGCTTGTCACGCCGAAGACCCAGTTTCGAGTCGCCACAAGGACAATGTGTGAAGCCCATTTGCTGCTGTTGTTGTAACAGTTGCAACAACAAGTACTGCTATCGGTTAATTTCTAGAAGGGGGTGGTGGGGTAGCCTAGTGGTTAAAGCGCTCGCTTGTCACGCCGAAGACCCAGTTTCGAGTCGCCACAAGGACAATGTGTGAAGCCCATTTGCTGCTGTTGTTGTAACAGTTGCAACAACGAGCACTGCTATTAGTTAATTTCCAGAAGGGGTGGTGGGGTAGCCTAGTGGTTAAAGCGTTCGCTTGTCACGCCGAAAACCCGGGTTCGATTGTCCACATGGACTATCTGTGAAGCCCATTTGCTGCTGCTATTGCAACAAGGAATGTTGCTATTAGTCAATTACTTGAATGAGTGGCGTTATAACCTAGTGATAAAAGTGTTCACTTGTCACTCCGGGTTCGAATCGCCACATGTGTACAATGTGTGAAAATTGCTAAAAGCGGCGTAAAACTAAACTCACTCGCTCACCCACTATTTTCGAGAACTACTACTGCTACGATTATTATATATAACAATACTAACACACAGCAATCGAGAATCACATGTCACTATTGTGTGATTCTATATCGTGCAAACACCAAAGATGAACATACTCAGTAGTTGTTATATTACTGACGGGTCTGCATACATTCTAACCTAACCTTAAAGATTGAAACGTGTAGGTAATAATTTAACACACAAAAGAATCTGCTCACAGAAACGCAGACTTTCTGTTAGGTCAGATGTGATGTGAAACATATCTCACTACGGTGAAGCAATTGGTTGGAATAACATTGTCGCGGTTTCACGTTTATCTTTTAGCGTGAATCTGTAGCACTCTAATTAACATGTGTAAAGTTGTAAACATTCTACTTTCCAAATCGTTACCATTCACAGGAGCGTCTTTATGTCCCGGTTTCATCGCCAGCCGTGAAACACGAACTGACTGAATACAAATCGGGTTACCATTTACACACTCTTTACTAGGTAGCCTTTTGATGTGCACATCGAAATACCAGCACATTGTTGGCATACAGACATGCCTGTGTATTGACGTTTTCATGTTCTTTGTGTGCTCCTCTGACAAGTGTGAATAGCTCCTATGAGAGAGATTGTGTAGCCCCAATGTAATATATGATATAATTGATCATTTTCGGAAAGGCATTTCTATTCCTACCTCTCGAACATGGGAGCCGTACGAGTTTACGCTTGTGAGAGCGTGTATGTTACTACTACTATAACTGACTGACTGACTGAGTTTGGTTTTACGCAGCTTTTAGCAATATTCCATCAATATCACGGCGGGGGGACACCAGAAATGGGCTTCACACATTGTACCCATGTGGGGATTCGAACCCGGGTCTTCGGCGTGACGACCCAACGCTTTAACCATTAGGCTACCCCACCGCCCCACTACTATAACTACTAATAAAGACATTTATATGGCGCTGAACTCCACCGGGCATGCCTTAGGTGCACGGAAAAAAGCTGAAGAATTGTCAATGATTATTTAACAGATGTGTGGAAAGAGTGTGCCATAGTACAGCAGCAGAGTGGTTGAAGGATCTGGCACCAAATGTGTTCAACTTTGTCCGACTTCCATTTCTATGAAAGCATTGACGATATAGTGGGCTGGATTGCTGACCTGGTGTGCTGGACATTAGGTGCCTCAACCTGTCAGTATTTGTTCGATATTCCACATGGTACTCAACCCTCAAAGGTACTGCTACCTTTACTGAGAACTTGTAATCCCAAATACAACATTTATTTAAGAGGTAGTGAGTGAGTGAGTGAGTTAAGATTTAAAGTCACATCGGCAATATTTCAGCCATATCGTGACTAAAACTAATTCTAATTTCATAATGCATACATATAATATATGAAACCCTGCCAACGAAGGACAGTAAAATTACTAGGTTATCACAATTTAGGTAAAATAGTTAGCATATATCTTTAAAAGTAGAAATTATATTTGGACAATACAATATAAAAATGGGCTATTGATCACCAACAACTGAAGGTAGATCACCATACTAGGAACCATGGGTAGCTTTTGCTACCTGCATGGACCCTAGCTGGATTTACACCATCCATTCAGCCGCTGGCGATTGTAGCAAAATTTAGCCGGCAGTTAAAAGAACCCAGAGGTAGTAGGCTACAAGTATATACTCACCTTCTTCAAAAACCTCTGGCTCACTTGTAATTACAAGTCGCAGAGTCTTATCCCATAACAGCACCATATTATAGTAATAGCAGGTTAGTATAATACATGCCAGTTGGGCGTTTTGTTCACGAAAAACACACATTACATGCAATGTGTGTGGTCTTATCCATGTGTGAACCTTTCCTATTATATAATGGTGAATATGGGGTATTAATAAACTAGAAACGGAACATATACGTGCACATGAGAGGTCATTTAAGGCGGAAATAAAATACATTATTGTAAATGGGGAATGTGTCCAATATACCCTCTGTATTAATGCTATATATAACACTTGAATTTTGAGTAAAGCTAGCTAGAACATATTAAAAGGATGAGGAATGATGATGTACATCGTATTTTACTTGGACAATTATCAGACATGATAACACGGCTGCTTGTTGGCCTGTATTTCTTTTTTAGATTATCAGGTTTTCGTCTTCTGGTGTCAAGTGGTGTCATTGTCTTCTCTCAAAAAGCACCAGAAATACTGGATACAGGTCGAATGAATATATATTGCCTATAACAATATTATTATTTACAACCGTAGCAATTCCGACATTCGGTCTATCGTTAAATGTGGAAAAGCTAAACATTCAATATTGATTTCACAATCAAACCATTGGCGAGTTTGTTTAAGATGAAATGCCTGGCCTATAAGTCTGAACCTGTGAATGCGGACATCTTGTACACAGCATGGGGGGGGTGACTTCAACTCCAGAAGGATCCCAGACGCTTTAGCATCTGTGACACAATTAGCACCCGTCTCCATAAACGTATTCCACCACAGTTACCCTCAAAGCAATACATCAGTGCTTAATACTTTAATAATAAAAAGTCTTACAATACAAAAATTGAACTGAAATAAAGCTATTTACTACCGCGACTCCACAAAGCTTTCAAGGCTGCAACGGACTGATGGTGAATTAGTATCACGTCTTCACAAAAGTACAGGAAGGAAAGGGCATAATAGAGAGCAAACTGATATGTGAGTCTGAAAGCAAATTCAAGACAAATTCATGGTCACAGAAGAATATCACCGTTATTAGCATAGGACAGATATCTGGATTTCGTCGCTGAACCGGTGGCTACGTTGGATAAACGGTGGGTACGTGTCAGATTACATTATTGACATGGTATTCACTTTGTTTCACAAGCTCGTAAGAATCGGAAAAAAATTAAAGATCATCAAGGGAACAGAAACACCTATTGGCAGTTGTATTTAAATATCTTCACATCTCATCTGCCAAAGACAGGCAGACAGTGTCTGTTGTGTGGCATTTCATTCCACCCTGACCATGATCTATGAGCATGATACTGTGCAGTGTCAAATTGTTCGCATGCATTCTTCTGTTGCTGGAACTGTTGTCCTCTTATCCAGTTTCATCCTGAAGATGGTCAACAGTGTTGTAGTAAGGCGTCACAGTGCCGATTTGTTCGTATGTACTTTCTGTTGCAGGAACCTTTGTCGTCTCATCAAGTGTCACATAGTGTTCCTCTGACGTCTTGTTCTTCATACTTTCCAGTTGTTTCAGTAATCTGAAGCCACAAAATATGGCTACTTCATAAGGTGAACAGACACTTATCGTGATAATGTCTCATGTCTAAAATAATGAGAGAGGTAGGCAACAAATGTGTAAGATGTTGTGGAGGTCAACTATTTAAAACGTATCTGACCACTAAAAACATCCCGTATACTGGATACATTTCCGCCCAATGGTTGTTAACATGATCACCTCATGATTTCCTCATATTTATAAGTGATATGTAAACTTTCTACCAGAATATGAAGACATACAAACGACACTTCTCTGCTATAGGAACCGAATCCTCCACAAACAGAAGCGACAGATCGATACCTGTTATTCACTGTCAAGTTAAAGCACCGGTGACTTTATTAAAAGAAGGAGCCAATTGTTTTATGCACAATTATATTACACAATGTGATAAGAGCAGTGTGGGGCAGGTGCCGTAGAATCTATGAAATTGGCGGAAGTAAAGAGCTGTCATTAAAGGTATGAAAACCTGTGGTTCTATTCAACGAAGGCTGCAAATAATACTACCGTCTGATGTAAATGGCTGCACCAATCACTGTGACGATCAGCAGCACAGAAGGGATTGCTGATGCTGGCACTCCCCAGTTGAATCCCTCATCTGAGGGGGTCACTGAATCAGACAAATGTGAGAATGGTCTACAACACATAAACGATGCAGACAGATGATCAAAAGTACCCCATCAGAGATTAATCTTGTTTGATCACCCGATGAATCAGAATATATTTAGGATAAAAGACAAGTAGTTCTGACATGAGTAGTACATCGACAATACCTGAAAGCACAAGCTGTGATAAAAAAATAGTTATTTGCATAAATAGTATGTGTTTGTTGCTTGACATCGTACAGTAGTGTTCCTGCCATGTGACCGTAGCATGTAAAGCAATTGGTAGCCTATGTTTGCAATAGGAATTATTTTCCAACTGAAAAGTTGGTAATCAATGACATGCACAAACATAATTCAGTTTGTTCCCATTTTACTTTCCTTTGGCACGCCATGTGTGAATATATATGAAAAAATCAAATGCAACTAACATTACCGGTATCGATGAATTACAACATCTGTATATTTAGTGTCCATAAGATCATGGTTTGAATCCATATTGGCAAACCCACATGAAACTGACATGCAGAAAGTATCAAGTGCGTCATTGACCAGTGAATGTTGTGACTAACATGACCAAAGTTACTAACTGGAACAGGTGTGGAGGCGAATTTTGGTTCATTAACCTTTTGTGTAAAGGTATCTTTGTAAATATTCAATGGACATCATCAGTACTCACGTTGTAAGCATGTGCCGTCATTGACCCATCCTGCTGCACATCCTGTAGGACATGTTCCGGTTTTCTTGTCACAGCTAACACTATTAAAACAGTTTCCACACAGAGAAGCACAGTTGGTACCATAGAAACCATCTTGACATGCTGCAAATACCCACACACATGCTCAAAACATGGACTAACCGTACTGTTTTCCTCTTCAAATACAGAAATTCCATAGGAAACAGAATTGTACACGGTTGTTGAAAAGGAAACCGAACACGAATGTTTGATAACATATACATGTACAGTATTTGATAACTGTTTTATGATACAAAACGAAGCAAAGAATGCGTTTACGTTATTGATCATTTATCTTTATGTTATATGATATTTACAAAGCGCACATTTTCACGCAACTAGTACATGCTCAAGGCGCTGGAGTGTTTCCTTGATCAACGGATGTCTTTTTTTTTTCTTTTACCTGTTAGGTGCAACGAGTTATCACACAGCCTCATCCTCACAAGCTACCCATTTGCAGATGGGTGGACTGGGACACAACGTAACAGGATTTTGTCCAATGGTACTGCACGTTACTATACCCACAACTAGGTGTCTGCACGTGTTCATGTGCTCACCACCTGGTCACCTACCATCGGATGAGTGGGTTCTTTTAAGCCCACAGGTTGAGCACTGCACACGAGCGGCTGTGACAGCACTGAAAGGGCCTACAAGTCGATCCAGGCACTTTTCGCTTACTGGCGTTGAGCCCTGGACGGCTCGCCCACCTTTGCCCCCCAGGGGCTTTGAGCTTTGAAGACAAACACATCAATGTACCAAAACTTCCACAGGTCGACCTCAATTACTCACGCTTCTGACATAACATTGTGTCGCCATTCATCCATCCTGCTGCACATCCTCCAGAACAGGCTCCTGTGATCTTGTTACAGCTGACACCATCAAGACAGTTTCGACACGGGGAGGTACAGTTGATACCATAGGAACCATCTGCACATTCTATAAACACATAATTCAGGGGAAAAAATGGCCCATCTTGCAAACAAGATTACATAAAATGACTCTGTCACAATTGTATTTCCGTAGCATATGTTTTAACATGGTGGCATAAAACTGTCCCAAAGCAGTATATATATGTCTTCATTCATCTATACCTGCTGCACAACCTCCATGATATGTTCCGTTTATCTTGCCACAACTTAAACGTGAGACAACATCCACACTTGGAGATACCTGCTAGCCAGTTTTACATTCTGTACATAGCTGCATACTGAATCAACGTCGAGTTTAAACGTTGTAGAAAAATAGAGTCAATGTTCGCAATTGCCACAGGACGACATCAGTACTTACCTTGTTGACATAACTTTGTGTCGTCATTGACCGATCCTGCTGCACATCCTGTAGGACATGTTCCGGTTTTCTTGTCACAGCTAACACTATTAAAACAGTTTCCACACAGAGAAGCACAGTTGGTACCATAGAAACCATCTTGACATGCTGCAAATACCCACACACATGCTCAAAACATGGACTAACCGTACTGTTTTCCTCTTCAAATACAGAAATACCATAGGAAACAGAAATGTACACGATTTTTGTAAAGGAAACCGAACACGAATGTTTGATAACATATACATGTACAGTATTTGATAACTGTTTTATGATACAAAACGAAGCAAAGAATGCGTTTACGTTATTGATCATTTATTTGTATGTTATATGATATTTACATAGCGTACATATCCACGCAACTAGTACATGCTCAAGGCGCTGGAGTGTTTCCTTGATCAACGGATGTCTTTTTTTTCTTTTACCTGTTAGGTGCAGCGAGTTATCACACAGCCTCATCCTCACAAGCTACCCATTTGCAGATGGGTGGACTGGGACACAACGTAACAGGATTTTGTGAAATGGTACTGCACGTTACTATACTCCCAACTAGGTTCCTGCACGTGTTCGTTTGCCCATCATCTGGTCATCTACCATCGGCTTTTAAGCGCACAGGTTGAGTGAAAACGGGCAGTTGTGAAAACATTGAAAGGACCTGCAAGTAATGTTAGGTCCAAGGTTTTTACACCCGTTCACAAGTGGTGATCGATCCAGGAACCTTTGGCTTACTGGCGTTGAGCCCTGGACGGCTCGCCATCCTTACCCCATGGGCTTTGAGCTTTGAAGAAAAGCACATCAATGTACCAAAACTTTTACAGGTCGTCCTCAATTACTCACGCTTCCGACATAACTTCGTGTCGCCATTCACCCATCCTGCTGCACATCCTCCAGTACAGGCTCCTGTGATCTTGTTACAGCTGACACCATTGAGGCAATTTCCACATCGGGAGGTACAGTTGATACCATAGGAACCATCTGGACATTCTGCAAACACAAAATTCAAGAAATAGCATGGCCCATCTTGCAAACAGGATTACATAAAAACATTCTGTCACATTCTGTATTTCCGTAGCATATGTTTTAACATGGAGGCATAAAACTGTCCCAAAGCAGTATATATATATATGTCTTCATTCATTTATACCTGCTGCACAACCTCCATGATATGTTCCGTTTATCTTGTCACACCTGAAACGTGAGACAAAATCCATACTTGGAGATACCCGCAAGCCTCTAAGATTGGGATTTTATGGGTTTACGATTGGCGTAGGGCCACGATCGGTTAGTGGAAAGGCACCCAATACTCACGTTGTAGACATAGGGCTGTGCGTTAGCCTATGATCAACTGTTAGTCTTGCGAGTGTATTAACATGAATATGTACTTTGTTTAATAATCCTGACCATAAATTATTAGCTTTTAACGTTCATGCTTCATACTGATACTTGGTTTAATAACATTTGCATGGTTCACCACTCCCATCACTCATACTCTGGAGAATCATGCCAGTTTCCCTAGTATGATCCATTCATGCTCATTTTTTATGTCACGGACACCTTAGAGGAAAGTGATTATAAACAGCTTTTTCAAATAGTGGAACTGGATGATCTAAAATGGATTAATTCGTTTCGGTTTTCACATTACTGTTTGATCCTGTAATTGTCCAATACCTTCTCTGATTTGCTGCCTTGAATGAAACTCATCAATCGCAAAATTAAAGATTTCATAAAGCATCTATTAACCACATTTGACATTACAATAATAATGGATGTATCCGGCTGAAATAAAATCCATTTAAGAGTTCCATGAGGAATTCAAAATATTTGCCACAAGGTGTCATTCAGAAAGCATGTTTGTCGCATGCTGTTGAAATTTACTCATATGACTCATATGTCAGGTTCACCATGGAGACAGTTTCTACACTGGGAGGCGCAGTTGATACCATAGGAACCATCTGGACATGCTGTAAGCACACAAACGTCATTTGTTAATCCTGTCCATACGAAATGCCGGTACGACCGAGAATACTCCTTGAGCCAATATGCATAAAAACAGAACATTCTTTCATCACCACAGTTCCGACAATTCGTACACACACTACCTGCTGTCGTTGGATTTAGCCTTGTATGGATCAAAAGCAGAATATTTACATTTTGCCTCTAAAAGAAAAACAATATGGTCACATTATAATTCACCGAATGTGCAAATAGATATCTAATTGGTTTCTTCAAAATGTGATAGTAAACATTATTTCTTTACTTGTTAATTTCATTTTCCACATAATCCTCGAGAATCATGATATTTTCTCTGACATGATTTATTGTGAAATATTCACATCTTGGTCACTGGAAATATATAATAAATTACAAATAGTCCACTGCACAAACGTATGTCTTACACACAACCACGTAGGAACCACATAAGTGAGTGAGTGAGTGAGTGAGTTAATATTTAACATGTCATGGAAGGTGTGCAACGGGATACATGATTGAGGCCAGACACACTCAGCAGCAAAAGAAACGTCAGTACGAATTCAAAATTAGATAGGCAGTGTAATCAAATAATTACAGAAATGGACATAATAGTGATTGAGTGAGTTAATATTTAACGTCATATCGGCAACATTTCAGCCATATCGTGACGAGAACATATTTGACATTAAAATGAAATAAATGTATATTATAAAAACCTGTCCACGAAGGACAGTAAAACAACGAGAATATCAAAATTAGAATTAAAACTAGCGTGGAAACCTAAAACTAATAGCTCTATTTGGAAGGTACCACGTAAGAGGAAGGAATAATTGCTGGTCCCTTGTAGCATGACCTGTCATGGCAAGAGAAGACACACACTGAAATAGTGGACTTGAACATCTGCGTTTCAAAGGGTGTCATTTAGCACGTCACTGACACCTGTAACACGTAGACAGGGCTATTATATCAAAAACCTATCAAAAGCCATTTATCAAAACTGTCCTAGAGCTGCCTCACACTGTTGCACATCTTTCAAGATGCTTCCTACCAAGGTAGCTATGTTTACATGCTGCAAACAAACATTTGCAAATCTTCAGTGACATTGTACAGAAATGCGTCTTTCTCGATCATCATGTTTCTGCCTCACCTTGTTGACATGTGTCCGTCATCTATCCTGCTGCACATCCTAAAAGACATGTTCCAGTGGTCTTGGTACAATTGGCACCTTCAAGACAGTTTCCACACCTGGAGGAGCAGTTGATGCCATAGAAACCATCAGGGCATTCTGCACAAACAAATACATATCGTAAACAACAAATTCATTTTGTCTTCATTTAATTCCAAATATCGAGGTTTTCATTTAAATAACGGCGATGTTTATGTGCCATCAACGTGCTTACATTGCATGAATATTGTGTGGATGAATCAGTGAAAAATATTAACAGATTTGATCTCAGGCTGTAACATAGCATCTTACATAATTATTTTTAATTACTGAGGTGAACAAGTACACTTACTTTACAGGTTTGAACGAAATCACTGTATATGGGATGCATGTATTATTATTATGAACTGAACAATAAGATTCAGTATTTAGATTTGCAGTCTGACTCAGAACTGATAACCTTTGGCTCATGACTTAGAACGGTTAAACACGGAAAGGAGACAGAGTCGGGATTAGAGAAAGATAAACACAGAGACGGGATCTTTGCCATAGCTTTCGCGAGGCAAGGACACGACAAGGTCGTCAGAGGAAGATTCCGAAACTCACGGGTAACAAATCAGTGGAAAGGGGAGTCATCGGAGGGGAGGCCAGTTACGACACACATGAGTGCAAGGTCAGATACATTTGTTAATGAATCCAAACGATATGTTGAAACATGTGATCAAGATCAAGTCAGGCTCCAACCATTTATAAATATATGTTTGGGACTACAGTTGAGTTCCACCAGTCGTTTGTCACCCCTCGGTGTGAAGTGTGAAACAGAACAATATCACATGATAGTTTTTTAAACATTTTTTTTCCGTGATTGTTCATAAAACGTCAGATTTCATACCCTGTTGGGTACAGAGGTTTTAGTTATTTAATCATTCATTGATCTCATTTGAACTCAAACGAACTGTAGGAGCTCAACATTCTCGGAAGCCAATCCACGTCACTCAGTTATCCTGTGTGGTACGATCTTGTGTTGTGTTAAAGTTGTATTTAGAGAGGTAGACTAAGACAGCGTAAACCTATGTGAGTATAGAAGTAAAGGATAAAACATGACTCCGAGGTCTTGGTCGGGATTGTAAAACCTGAGAGCAGCAGGGACGGAGCTTGTAAAACCGAGAGCGAAGCCCGAGGTTTTACAAGCTCCGTCCCTGCTGATCCGTCCCTGCTGCTCTCGAGGGTTTGACAATCCCGACCAAGGCCGAGGGGGGAGTGTTTTATCCGACTTATGAACCGTCATGAATGTAAAACACAAATATGTATTATTTTCAATTTGTGCATGTACTGAGCAGAACAACATTGATGGAACAGCCCGCAAATGATGGAACAGCCGGTGTCAACTGGCTGTGAGGAACCTGTCAGTACCCGTCTTGTGAGGAACACATGGTTCATACTGACAAACAATCTCCTCCTTCACAGCGATCCTTCGTAGCCAAGTGGATGAAACCGCCAGGCTAAAGAGCAAAGGGTAGCGGGTTCGAAACCAGCTATCGCAACTGTACATTGGAAGTTTTCAGTAATGTGACATTTTACGATCAGTGATAGCAAGACATGGATTCCTTTAATTGTTCATTTCAAAATCTCATATCAGGTTTAATAACAACCATTTCAATACCTAGGTTATGAAATGGTCGAAATTTAACTTGATATGATGTTTCGAAACGTGTTCTTCAAAACATCGGTCTAGAAATGATCGATGCAAAGTCACGGCAGAGGTCTACCCGATTCTGGAAGGAACCTAGTTTACAGCAGAGAAAATCGGAGATAGGTTTATAAATTGGTGTTGCGTTTATCTTTGAATGAGCAATGAATCCGAATCTCAAAAAAAATTTCACGTTCGGGATTCGAATACCGAATCTGAATTTTTGTTCACATCGGAATTTTTTTTCATATTCGGTTTTTTTCTTTTGCATATTCGGCACTCGGCACTCGGCACCCGGCATTCGGTATTTGAACTCTTATTATGCACTTCTTTTACACATTTGGAATTTGGAACTTCAGCGTCCTTGTAACTATACTCTTTGCACCTTCACTCTTCAAAATTATCTATCCTCGGCGCTGCCGTCCTCCTTCGGGGACAGTCGAGAGTTCCTGAGGCTCTGCTTGTATGTATGAGCTCTCGGTGGAAACCGAAGAAAGACCAGCAAAGTGTGTATTATGTGCCTGTACACGAATATAATGCGGTTAGTTAGGAGTCACGGTCGCCCGACCCCTTACTCCTACACTTATCATCATGTGCCTAGATTTTCGAAGCTCTTTTAGCGCTAAGATAGTCGTAAGTTAATGTGAATGTAAATCTAGGCCCTGCAACGGACCAAGCAAGTGGAGAGTCTGAGCTACCATCACCCCTGACAATGGGGAACGGCAATGATTAGTAGGTAACGACGCTAGGTTGCCTAAGCCCAATGGCCAGTTGCGCCAATATTGCGGACGCTTTGTAAAATTCTAACTCACTCACTCACATAATTAAGTTACAATTTTCTCTAAAGACAGGCCAGTTTAAGTATTTGTGGTTACAAAAACAAAAGATCCAAGCTGGGCATTTAAACTGTTAGCAATTTTTACTATGTACCAAGTCATCATCAGATGAACAAGGCTCTGTGTTAAGCCCACTATCATCCTTGATAATGCATGGTATGCTATCTCCACTCTGTTTTGGAGATGTAAGTTTGTTCATCACTACTTCGATTTTTTTTTACGAACTGATGTTGACTCAACGTTTATGTATCAACGTTTAAAATTGAAAAAAATGTTGATGTGCCAACAAAATTCAATCACCGAGGTCAGGTTGGTCTTATACTGTGGGTTTAATGTTTGGTAGAATTATTAGTGCATGTTTACCTGGACAGGCATAATGCAACATGGTTCCTCCTATGTTGCATATCATGAAGCCAGCTGACAAACTTGCAAATGATTGAATGATCCAAGGTGTAAATTAACATGTAACATTGCTTCATGGACATTCTCATGATGGAATACTAGTCACTAAACACAGTGGCGTAAATATTTGTCCCCCTAATTATAAAGTTAATGATTATGGTTAATGCTACACCACTATTATGTCGTCTGTCTGTACGTTTCACAGAATTAAACCTAGCTAATACATATACACTTAGTGCAATTCCTATGAACATATATATCACCAAATTAGGGGATATATGTAAACTAACAATATACTAAACCTGCAGGTCCATGAATGTAGCAAAAGTACTGTGTAAGTCCCCAAGGTTCCTAGTATGGTGATCTACCTTCAGTTGTTGGCGATCAATAGCCCGTTTTTGTTTTCATTGTAGTTTTCTACTTTAACGATATGTGCTAGCTAGTTTTGTGATAATCTAGTTATTTTACTGTCCTTCATTGACAGGGTTTTATATATTGTATGTATGCATTATGAATTTGGAACTAGTTTTGGTGACTTTAAATCTTAACTGACTCACTCAATCACTAAACCTGCAAGTGTGAAGGATTATTACTATTATGTGGGTATTCAAGCTTAGAATAGGTCACCATTATATCTATGTTGGTTGTGAGAGGCACCGAAATGGACCGGTAGTCAATTTCATAACTGTGTTGATTGCAATCACTGTTGTTTGTTTCTCAGGTCAAATAGCTGAAGTATTGCTCGGTGAGGCCCAAAGTAACAAACAAATATTCCCTGTTACACATGTGTGTTGTTATATTGCTTCAAATAATCTGCAATGGATCTGCAATAATTTGGTAATTCAGTCAAACTTTGGCAAACGGTGGTTTCTCTCTCGTGTTCATTTAGTTTCTCATACAAAGTGGAAACATGCACATAAAGCATAACATTCATCATCAATGCTAACTCTTTCATCTCTTGCCTGTTTGGCAGTCGGCACCAGTATATCCCGGGAAACATCCACTAGAACAGTGACCAGTGATCTTGTCACATACATCAGTACTGTTAAGGCACCGGCACTGTTTGTCACAATCTTCAGAAAACCAACCATCACTGCAAACTGAACATGGTTAAACAATTGTCATCATAATTTGATCCATATTGAAAAAAAAAGATGCAAACAGTAAACAATATTTGGTCGACGTTCATCAGCGTTAAGTGCAGGAAGTAACTACTGACTTGTATGGAAATCGGTTTCGCATGTTGAAATGTTGAAACAAAGCATCCCCATCACTACCATTACACTTCAGTAATACGCTATTTGTAAACATACCAAATATCTGCACTTCACACAAAGTAAGTATTTCCTGTGGACCAGGTATCCGTATAGTTACTGTGGTTCCTGTCAGTGGCTGGCGGCAGGTGACGTTAGCTATAGGAGGAGGATGTTCAGTTGATGACCAGTTGTAGCACATCTGGCTGCCCACAAATATCTCCATGCCGATGTTTCTGTCCAGATCTGTACAGAAGGAACAAACAAATGATGGAGAATCCTGCTCAGCTGACCGATGTCTATGTTAACACCGGTTAATACAAATGTAAAATTCCGAAGCTTACAGTTATATTTCTTTAAAATAACACTCTCAGGTTCAGCAGCTTTAGATGAAAGCATATCGAGGATTCCACAATGTTTAAAATGAAGGTGTTATTTATTGCAAAGTTATCTTATTAACACACAGATGAGATCACATACACTGATACTGGACTATTGCTCACTAGTAAAACTCTGGTGACTATCTTCAGTAAAAGGTGATTCCCACCAAGCTTAATAAACGGTAGCAAATCAAAGATCATTCTGCTACAACAAACAACTGTCATGCATTAGGGAATGAACTTTGTAATCAGTTGAATACATCGCATACATATATTTCTAAAATGTTACATGTAAAAGCAATTGCTCACTCAGTCACCCATCGAGTGCAGGGGAGCACGAACTATCGCTTCTATCAGCAGATTGTCATCACTTGTCATAAAGCACTCTTTAAATGATTAAACCATATACATTGCAAGACTCGCATACTTAGTTCGTAGATTCCTGGCACCCATGAAGAGCAAACTCCCCGTGGTGGGTGGTTGGTAACACTAATAGCTCTTTCCCCCCGTGTGGACCCGGGTCAAAATGTGTCCACAGCACCCCATTGCTGGTTGTAAAAGGCGACCGAATTGGGCAACCTGTTTGCCGTGGTTTGCACCCCTGTGTCTGTGGAGGAATGGATTCTGGTCGTTGAGGACAAAGGAGCCTGGAACCTTGTTCCTTTTGACCAACACACGACTTCGACCCTAACTTCACCTAGACCTGTGGTAGAATAGACTCGGTTCTGTCAATCGGCTAATCATGTCTTACCCCGTGCTAGAAAATTGTTTTGTTTGATACTTTTTCAGCGGCATATGATATTTTGCCTTCGAATCTTGAAATTTATGTGATTGTATATTTGCCTAGAGTTTTGTGCCAAAGGGCGTTGGTTCATGGGGCAATCTGGTGATGTCGACCTCTAAATTCCATATGTCTCTCCAAATTTTTGTTTAGACCCGAAACAGCCTGATAGTATATTTGGTAGACTAATATAGCTATTTATGCCGTGTTTACTGTAGTATATAACCATTGTATCCCTGGTGTTTGCATGCTGGATATCCGATGTTTATACTCGGTGGCAGATGGGGAGCCTCATATGCATCATGAATCCAATAAATTCTGGTTCTGTTGGATTTGACAAAACAAGGCGTCAGGAGGCTGACGATGTTTCAGTGTTTACACTACTATATACATGACTGATTAAATGAGCTTTGTATCACAGGGTAGATTTCGATAATTTCAACAAAAGTAAATTTAACTGAACAATTACATATGAAAAACGTATCATTATCCATATACATATATAGCGGAGAATAAATGGGAAATCGCTCATAACTTATCACGATCAGTAATTCATTGTTATTACTTGTATCTGAGCTATACGATCAAATAGTATTTAATCCTTGTCGTCTTATATGCTGACATGATTCACTTGCCATTTGAGATTCCTGCCGTTTAAATAGGTCAGTCATTGGAAGGCAATACCAATCCACCACATATTATATGATTTGTGCGTTTGATCAGAACACTTGTGATAAAAACATTCAACATAATTCAACCCCAAACGATATAAATAATCATGGTTAATTCCTTGCAGCATCTTATAATACCACCTGTACGTTGTCTATGTGTGTGAACTCACAGCCGTCACGTAGGTAGAGTCTGATGTGTTGTATCTTCTCTGGAACTGAAGTGTTCAGGTTCACAGTCCAGGTGGGATTTGTCTCATTCTTTGTATGAGTACATGTCCATTGTGAGCTATCGGCATCTGGTCTACTTAAATGCGTTGTGGTCCTGCCATCAACAGCCACATCTGCACCAAATATTTCGTGAACGTAACTACTGCTCTGGTTGCAAGATCTCCGCAAAGCAATGTTTTCTGAAAATGTGAATACAGAACCAGATTCACAAAAGAAGTAACCAAATATTTGTGATATGTCATGATAATACTCATATCCTTTACTTCATACTCACGTTTCTGACAGTAGGAACCGTACCATCCTTCCTGACAACTGTCTGGATCATCGACCTGGCTACAGGGAGTAGAGGGGAACACGGCACAGGCAGTAGTGGTGTTACAGTGACACTCAGCATCTGTTAAAACATGCACATCCTCTTGAACAATACCACTGATTGTTATTCCTTTATCCGTATATATATTAGAATATAATATATAATAAGCTTATGGGATAGCTTTGTATTTTCATATGAATCAAGTCAAAAACTACGAAGCAGATATTAACTCCTATCTCGCATGACGTGAATACAGTTCCTACCCGAGAGGGTCAGAGTGGCACAGACCACAAGCGGTCCCATCCAGGACCAACACATCTTGGCTACCAACCTGACAAGAGAAAGCAACATGAATCGTTCAGTCATCACATTACATGTAAACATAATGAATTTCACAAGAGTGGCCTTGAAAGCAAGTACGTAAATAGCATTGGCAACATTCAAAACAATTCCAACTAAAACACCTTTTGTAATACGCGCGATACTTGACATCGAATGTCATACAAAGTGCTCTTAGGATTGTTTTTCAAATAACATTTATTCTATGCAATTTTATGTAATGCACAGTTACCTTTTCCCGTTTGTATATGTATTGATGTGTATTGGATATGTAAAAGGAACTGAAACATATAACAGGTATAATATATATCAGTATCACGTGAGTTTAACGACTATTCGCTGTCACAATACGCCAAACTCGTTGATTCTGTCGTTCAAAGACTTTCAAAGACCATCATATATCGAACTGCCACTGTAGACTATGAGACGTAACATAACGAGAGTAACATAACGTTGATACAAAAGGCAAAAATCCGTGAATGCGGTTGTCATGGACCCAAACGTTCTCATTGTCAAACGCCTGCAACAGTGTTAAAGCTGCTGTTCACCTGTCCATGAATATACGGGTCTATATCTGATATGAATGCGCTTTCACAGTTGAATTATACTGACTGTCTATTGCCGTGTATTCATATACCCTAGAGGAGGAAAGTATTCCTATCAGTAGTTTTGAAAAAAAAACTACAGCAAATATTGTCATATCAGTTTGATGGTACGTACGTACATGTATATACTTCGATATATCCGAGATTCGACACAGCTGGAAAATGACCAATGAAGAGGGCATGCTAAGAGACCAAGCTTGTACGAGACAACCGTACTCTTGACACATCAAACAGTATGCGCCCGTGTTTTCCCGAATAAGACTAGTTATTTCATATGTTTGTTTAATGGAAGGACTTAGTATTAAATAGGTTACCTTTAAAACATAACGTTTACTTTAAACACCTACAGTCTCGTGGTCCACAACTATCCAATGATTCATGGTTTCTTTATTTCCTCAAAGTATGCACTCCATTGTAATACCATTATGTGTTGTTGCATATAGCAACGCAGACATTCACAAACCAAGCCGTCCCGAAATGGACATGCCCTGTAATGAAAAGAAACTCTATGGGCAGACACAGTTACAGTAGTTTCCTGAAAACAGCAGATGAGAAACTGTACTTTTGAAAGATCCATATTGCATTTGATTTAAAGGAATCTTTTCATTGACTTTTTCATAAATGACAGTGTAGAAAAGCTTAGGTCACAATGCATGGTCATCATCTAGCAAAATCTGAAGGTAATGAGAAAATGAAAGGACATTATCACACGTTGGATCTAGCACTAATTCCTTGGTATTAATCACGTGATGACTTGTCAACCAGCCATACATATACAGAGCACAATGAAAAACACCCTGTCTCGACGAACCTCTCACATTTGCAGCTCACTGCTGTTCAGTACAATAGACAGCAATACATATACAGGCGACCAGGAAGTAAATTGAGTAAAGCAGATAGGAAAAACATGGTCGAAACATTGTGTCTGCCACTGACATGAATGCTCTTTACAAACGTTTACTTGTCAACTGTCATAGATCTGTACATTTCTAGTTCCAAACTTCACTTTTGCTTTTTTTCCTTATCATGGCTGCATATTTGTCATTGTAACAGGGGATACAGAAACAAAACCATGCACATTCAAAAACCAATTGTCTAATGCATTGACATTCATTCGACACTCCACCCCGTAAAGCACGCACGCGCGCACGCACGCACGCACGCACGCACGCACGCACACACACACACACACACACACACCACCACCATCACTAAAAACGAAAACAACCAAATAAAAACACTACACAACATCCACACACCACATCACACCAGATAACGTAGTGCAAAAATCTTTGGCACGACGTCAAACCCAATGTCAATAAACCTCATGTTGAACAATATATTATCAGATCCTGCTTATAGAATGCAAGTTACATTCGCCTGGGCACGTTAAAGGATGGACATAAGGTAGTGCACATTATCAGGGGGGAAACATAGTTTGCTTACAAATAAGCTTTTTAATCTAAATTGCACCACAAAAGTCCTAAACATATCATTTCAAAGAAGACTTTCCACAGGCTAAGATTTAGTCTTGATTAAAAACAATCACTGTTTGCAAAAAACAATGGAAATGACGTGTGCTCACTAATAAGTATTATGTAAACAATAGGATAATAACATGATCTACAGTCGATACCAATACATGAGGTTCGCATGAAGTTCTTCCACTTATATACACACAACGAATTAGAACAAAGCTCTGCTCACCCCTTACACCAACAGCTCTCAGCTACCTGTCTGTACTGAAATATATGTCCAGGCGACCAGGAAGTGAATCAAGTGAGAAACACGGGGCCAAAATATCATTGTATACCTGTCAGCAGGAAGGTCTATAAACTTTTCTATACCATTGATACATATGATGTTTTAGAATTCTATCTGTCGTACTCTGGTTTCAAAACTTCCATTGCAACAGGGGATACAGAAATATAAAACATATGAATAGATTTGAGATACAAACTCTTTGGGCACAGCTATGCTTGATATAGATTTGAATGGTTGTAGTTCTGTGTGGAAGCCCCCCACCCCACCCTCTCTCTCTTTCTCACACACACACACACACACACACACACACACTGTACGCACACGTCGCAAAGTCTGGTGGTTGCCGGATAGTTGGCTTAAGTATACACAGATAACGTGATAGGAATGCCATGGTGTCAATGGTGGATGCAGGACAGATTGAACAGGGAAAATACAGATTACAAAGCGACTTTCTATAGTATACCTGGTTGATTGATTAGGATTAGCTAAGCATATAAAGGTCACACGCCAGTCTTACGAAGTATGGGTGCTGCAAGATCCGGGTTAGAATTGGTCTTCAGCAACACATGTTTGTATAGGGCGACTAACTGATAGTGAGACTTGCTGACTTGGTTGACACATGTCACCGTATCCCAGTTGCGTAGATCGATGCTCATGCTGTTGAACACTGGACTGTCTGCCCAGAATAGGTTATTTACAGACCGCCACCACGCAGCTGGAATTTTGAGTGCGTTGTTACATAACAAACACACAACTATGCGTGATTCAACTTCTTTGGTCTTTGGAGTCTTTGGAGTGTACTCATAGTCATAGGTATGTACACACATGATGTTCAAAACATAAAGACTATAAATACACAAGCTTTTTTAAGACCCACAACAGGAACTCCAACAGGACTAAACTTTCAAACGATTGTATTTAACAGATAACAATAGCATGTAAAACAATTCATTTCACCTTTTATCTTCCACATTTTAAAAAAACAGACACTTTGTATGTAAAATATTATGCTCCGTCGCATATATCGTTTTAAGGGAATCAAACCCTTCATGATTGGCTGCACAGTTGTCACCAACATCAATCCATACATATGAGGGAAGTCATTTTACTGCTTCCGCTACTACGTAGAGGGAGCTGCTGCTTAATGGCCACAATAAGACGTAAAATTGACACTGAGGATCTGAAACTACGCCCGTTAAAAGGGTCAGGTGGTGTTCTTTTCCGTTGTTGCAAACGTCCAACACTCCTGCCAATATAACGACATTTTATCCTCAAAATCGTCAACTTCTTTCTGCATCGGGCTTACTATATACTACTACACCGACTGTGTCCGCTATTGTTACAGCTGTTACTGTTGCAACACCAAATATTGCTATTAGTTAAATTCTAGAAGGTGAGGTGAAATTGGGGTAGCCTAGTGGTTAAAGCGTTCGCTTGTCACGCCGAAGACCCGGGTTGGATTCGCCACATGGGCACAATGTGTGAAGCCCATTTCTGGTGTCCCGTGATATTGCTGGGTTTGTCGCTAAAAACTACGTAAAACTAAACTCACTCACTCACCCACAAATTTCTAGAACTACTACTGCTACATTTATTATATATACCAATACTAAAACATAGAGAGTCAGATGTCACTTTTGTGTTACTCTATGTCTTCTCAACACCAAAGATGGACATACTCAGTAGTTGTTATACCAATACTAAGACAAAGAGAGTCAGATGTCACTATTGTGCTACTCTATGTCCCGTGAGCACCAAAGATGGACATACTCAGTAGTTGTTATACCAATACTAAAGCATAGAGAGTCAGATGTCACTATTGTGTTACTCTATGTCTTCTAAACACCAAAGATGGACATACTCAGTAGTTGTTATACCAATACTAAGACATAGAGAGTCAGATGTCACTATTGTGTTACTCTGTGTCCCGTGAGCACCAAAGATGGACATACTCAGTAGTTGTTATACCAATACTAAAGCATAGAGAGTCAGATGTCACTATTGTGTTACTCTATGTCTTCTAAACACCAAAGATGGACATACTCAGTAGTTGTTATACCAATACTAAGACATAGAGAGTCAGATGTCACTATTGTGTTACTCTGTGTCCCGTGAGCACCAAAGATGGACATACTCAGTAGTTGTTATACCAATACTAAAGCATAGAGAGTCAGATGTCACTATTGTGTTACTCTATGTCTTCTAAACACCAAAGATGGACATACTCAGTAGTTGTTATACCAATACTAAAACATAGAGAGTCAGATGTCACTATTGTGTTACTCTACGTCTTCTAAACACCAAAGATGGACATACTCAGTAGTTGTTATACCAATACTAAAACATAGAGAGTCAGATGTCACTATTGTGTTACTCTATGTCTTCTCAACACCAAAGATGGACATACTCAGTAGTTGTTATACCAATACTAAAACATAGAGAGTCAGATGTCACATTTGTGTTACTCTATGTCCCGTGAGCACCAAAGATGGACATACTCAGTAGTTGTTATACCAATACTAAAGCATAGAGAGTCAGATGTCACTAAGCCTTTAAAGTAAGATGTTTCAGGAAGATCTGCACAGTAAAAATAGTTATATTGTTATATTTAGCTTATATTGTGACCATAGTTACTTTTCTGCCTCTAGTACTCCTCAGTAGACTGCACATCGAAATACCAGCACATTGTTGGCATACAGAAAGGCCTGTGTATTTGCATGTACTTTGTTTACTCCTCTGATAAGTGTGAATAGCTCCCAAAAGACGTTGTAACCCCAAATGTAAAATATAATGCATCTGATCATTTTCGGAAAGGCATGAATCTTTCGACCATTGGAGCCGGGCCAATTTACACTTGTCAGAAAGTGTACGATCTAGAGTGAGTGAGTATGGTTTTACGCCGCTTTTAGCAATATTCCAGCAATATCACGGCGGGGGACACCGGAAATGGGCTTCACACATTGTACCCATGTGGGGAATCGAACCCGGGTGTGCGGCGTGACGAGCTAACGCTTTAACCATTAGGCTACCGCACCGCCCTGTACGATCTAGACTACATGTAACTACTACTACTACTACTACTTCTACTACTACTACTACTACTACTACTACTACTTCTACTACTACTGCTACTACTACTACTTCAAGTACATACTCATCTTCAAACAGTTCTGGCTCACTTGCAATTACAAGTCTCAGGGTCTTATCACCATGCATCGTAAAAGCAGGTTAGTTTAATATATGGCAGTAAATAATAATAAATGGGGAACGTTTTTCATATACCCTCTGTATTATTGCGCTGTGTAACACTTGGAATTTGAGTAAAACTAGCTAGAAAATAATAAAAGGAAGTCATAGAAAGGATGAGGAATGATGATGCATATTTATTGGACAATTATCAGACATGATAATATGGCTGGTTACTGGACTTTAAGATTTCCGTAGTTTTTTTCGGCTACTGGTGCCAAGTGAAATCGGAAAAGAGGAAATGAATAACTACGACATTTTACCGTTTGTATTGCCTTTATCTCCTCTCCAAAAGCACCACAAATCCTTGTTTTCTTTTTAACAATATTGTCAGAACGTACATGTATACAACCTAAGCAGTACGATTTTCAGATTATTACATTAGGAAAAGCTCAGCAATCATTATTGCCTTCTGAATCCAGCCATTAACTCTTGTTTCTTGAAAATGAAAGGCTGTGAACTCCAGAAGGGTCCAGATGCCTTAGCATCTTTTAGACAACTAGCAACCGTCCCCATAACTGCATTACATCACAGTTTAACGCAAAACCTTACATCAGTACCTAAAAAAAACTATGCCCCCCCCAAAAAAGCATAGGCGTTTTGTATTTTTTAAATCTATTAATTACCTATTGTGTTCAAACAATCGTCAAAATATGTAACATAAGTGTTGATAACATGATTTTACACAATTGCACAAGTGAAAAGTCGACTTTACCTGAAAACGTTGATTTTGATGAGTTTTTTTACAAGAATTAAAAAAGGCATCGCCACAACGCCACAGAAATCACCTTCCAGCTAAAATTGTGCACTAAAGATCATGCACTGTCTGGATATATAAATCCAGATTACTTTCGGAAATTGGCATCCGTTTTGAAGGAGTTTCAAGGTCAAATCACTACGCCAAGTCTTGACGCTGCGACACAGAACATCGCCATGGAAAGAATGCACGCTGGAGATTACCAATTTTCTGTTGCCAGGCGTCTGAATGTTAGTCTGAGTACGATATCACGGCTTACAGCTCGTTACAACCAAACAGGTATAACAAATGGCCGTCCCCGTACAGGCAGATCTCGAGTCACCACTGCAGACCCATATCAGTACATCCGGGTACTACATTTGCTTGATCGTACTGCCACGTGTGGGGGCACAGCAGACAGGGTGCCTGGACTTCAGAGGATATTCGGTCAAACTGTACGGAACAGGTTGAGAGAGATTGGACTGAGAGCCAGGACACCCGACGTCGGCACCGTGCTACGTGGTCACAATCGCGCTCAACGTCTCCGATATCTAACGTTATCCACTTGGTCGTATAGACATTACCTTCTTCTAAACTGATATAAACATTCATTTCTTAAAGTCTATTTGTAGACGAGTTATACATGTTTGAAAATAAAACATTTTCGCAACAGATGTTTTGGTTGTGCGTTTCTCTTTTTGATTAGTATAACTCTCATGCAACAAAAGTCTTACGATGACAGAAACACAACTACATGTATTTACTACCGCGACTACACAAAGCTGTGCGGGCTGCAACAGAATGACTGCATCAGAATCATGGCTTCACAATAATATAGAAAGGAAATGGCATAATAGGGAGCAAACTGAAAAGTTAGTTTGAAAGCAAATTCAACACAAACTCATGGTTGCAGAAGGGTATCACCGCTATTATCTTACGACGTATGTGTGGATTTCGTCGCCGAAACGGCGGGTACATTGAAGAAACGGTGTCTACGTGTCAGGTTAAATATGTTGTGTCCATCCCAATAACTGGACGTCTTCGCTTTGTTTCACAAGCTCGCCAGAATCGGAAATGAATTAAAGATCATCAAGGGAACAGAAGCACTTATTGACATTTGTTTATAAATATCTGCACATCTCATCTTACAAAGGCAGACAGACAGACAGTGTCTGTAGTGATGTCAGTGGCGATGGTCACGCTGACCATGATCTATGAACATGATACTGTACAGTGTCAAAATGTTCGCATGCATCCTTCTGTTGCTGGAAATTTTGTCCTCTCATCCAGTTTCATCCTGAACACTGTATTGTGGTAATGCGTTGCATTACTGATATATTCGTATGTGCTTTCTGTTGCAGAAACTTTTGTGTTCTCATTAAGTGTCACATAGCGTTCGTCGTTCATCTTGGTCTTCAAGCCGTCCAGTTGTTTCAAACGATCTGACGAACAAAATGTTGCGGTAGTAAACTTAAAAGAAACTTATCACGAAAAACACATACTGCCCCATGCCTGAAAATATGGGGAAAACTGTGACAACAGATACAATATTTGCGGAGGTCAACTGTTTGAAATGTGTCTGACCACTAAAAGGTCTTCTGTTCTGTGTAATGTTCATTCTTTTGCTCGCATTTATAAGTAACATGTACAATTTCTGCAGGAATGTAAAGGAATGCAATCGTTAGTACTCTGGTATGGGAACTCGATACCAGTGATTCACTATCAAGTAAAATAGTTCATTAAAAGAAGGAGCCAATTATTTTATGCACAATAGAGAGCACAAAAATCGGTTGTGCCTACTCATTTACATTTTTTTTTAAATGAGTTTATTTGTTACTTAAAGTGTGTCTGTCATATTGGGATTTGCCTGTCCATGAATCGATGGCTATGATTTATGAATAGTTTTGCGCTGGTCTTGACCTAAGACGGTCAAGTAACAATTACCCATTACAGAGCTATTTTATTACCGACTTTGAATAGAATCTATGACAGGTAAGTAAAGAGGTTTCCTTTAAGTTGTGAACACGTGTGGTTCTGTTTAAATAAGGATGGAACTTATATTACCGCCTGATGTAAATGGTTCCTCCAATCACTGTGAAGATCAGCACCACAGAAAGGATCGCTGCTACTGGCACTCCTCAGCTGCATCCATACTTTGTGGGGACCTCTTGATCAGACAAATGTGAGAAGAATCTACAACATACTCAGTGTAAAAGACCATCCGATATTAACCTTGCTCGCTAATCTTATAAATCATCTTTCACTGTGCACAAAAAGACATAAAGGGATGAAAATAAATGAATAGTCACTGAACGTCCACACTGACACGAGCTTTGGAAAACTAGGAGTACCCTTGACGGGAGTACTCACTCAATTTTCATGAAAACGTATGTGTTTCTTGCCTGACATCACCGTAAAATATATTGTTGAAGAAAGTTGTGACTGTATAATGTTATTTCAGTTAATAGTCAGAGGTAGTTCATAACAATGTTTTCAACAATACTCAGTTGTCATGAATATATTTCTATCACTGATAGCAGAGGTTTGGAAGCTGTTTTGTTAAGATGCGTTCGGGGTTTGTTCTGGAATCATCTAGAACAACATAGATTAATCTGCTACAGTATGCAGAAACCGGGAGTTATCATCTCACATCAAGACTATCGGTTATGTGGGGTCAACCCAACTGTTGTTTTCGATGTTTGGCCAGTGTGCTGCAAGCGAACATATTTATCTTGTTGGGATGTTTGAGAAGATGGCGTGACGAGGGGGGACACGTTAAATGAATTGATGACATCTTTATTGAAATTGATGTGACGTTTGGGTGTAGTTCATATCTTCGGTACGTCGAAGCTGTTGCATAAAGGAGTTGTTATTGCATAAAACGCGTTCTTCCTAACTGTGTTATGATTCCTGCTGTTGTATTAATCCCGTGATTTCATTGTACTGCTGATTAATACTACTTCTATCTTGTACTGCTATTAGAATCACTTTACGGAATCGGTTATTAAATCGTGCGAATATACTTGTCAATGGCATAACACGTCTTTGTGGTTTCACACTGAAATATTTTTACACATAGATTTAAATATTTTCTTATTGATTAAATTTCGAAATCGACACGATTCAGTGACGCTATATGGTAGGTCTGACTTAGTGTCACCACACTGTGACTTACACTGGTCACCATAACGACCCTTGTTAAGTCTGTGTGGAGTATGTGAAATACCGAAAATGAAGACCCCATACATGTCTAAACACAATTATCCTTTCTGATAGCAAACGTAACGTCTGCACCAGGAACCAAGCAAAGATGGATCATAAATTATGTCAATCTGGACACTGTGGAAAGGCATATCATCATGACACTGAAAGTAATGTATCATGTCATTAATCCACCCTGCTGTACATCCTTTAGGGCAGAGTTAGTTTGTCTTGTCACATATATGTCATCATCCAGACAGTTGCCACACTGAGATGCGCAGTTGATACCATAGGAACCATCTGGACATGCTGCAAGCACCCATACTGAACACGTGGATTTACCGTATCGTGGAAGGGAAACATACAGATTTCCCTTGCAAACAAAATTATGATAAGGGTGCAGACAAAAGAAACCTAATGTGAAAATTGGATAGAACATGTAAACTATTTCATCAAAGTTATTATAATGCAAAGAAATAATGTTGTTACCACCTAGGCTACCAAATTCTCACGGGATGAAATCAGTACTCACGATGCAAACATAACTTTTTGTCATCATTTATCCACCCTACTGCACATCCGTTAGAACAGGACTCCGTGATCTTGTCACAGATGACACCTTCGATGCAGTTTCCACATCTTGAGGCACAGTTGATGCCATAGGAACTATCTGGACATGCTGCAAACAAACATACGAATGGCTTAATTGTATTGTGCAGGGTGAGCTTGAACTCATAAAACCCCTAGTACCCATTTTGTGGACAAATCACTTTGAGATAGCTTATGATGAAGAGTTGCTCTCGAGAGTGTATCACCGTGAATAAGTGCACTGTTGTATGATCTGGCAAACAAATCATGTGTCTTAACAGGATACGTTAGAGTTGGTTGACATTCGTTTGCATGACACGTCCGTTCATTTTCCCCATACTCCTCGAGAAACATGCCATTTCCTATTGTCTGATTACCGAGTTTTTCATTTGTTTTATAACAGATTCACATCCGAGTCCGAACACATCAGATGAAGGGACATTTACGTTTAGCTACCGGGAAATATTCCACTTCTCAAAATTTGTTCTCATAGAAAACATTCTAAATAGAATGAATAATATTTGGTTCTTTGCGACGTGAAAAGAAAAGAAAATTCTTACGATGGATTAGTGAACTAGAACACCTGTACTCCATAGCATTTGACACATATCCATAATATGTGGCAAATGTTTTAAACTAATTTTTGCAAAATATTCCATGTTTTTAAAGGTACTGTTTACACATGAACTGATGTATTGTGAAACAAATTCGTGGCGTTGAGAAGAGCATTGCCAAAGTTCACTAAATGATAATAATCAGTGAAAATTGGAGATTTTCTTTTCAAAACTTTACACCAAAACGCAGGTGTTCACATGCTCGGTATTTGGACATGCTTTTCAGCAATTTGATGCATGATCCTCGTGCAATACATCATCATAAGGTTTGCAGTTGGTTCGCAGTTGGTAAACACAAACACACACACATAAATATATATGCATAATATATAGTAAGTGTTTTAAGTGAGTCGAAACTTTTGATGGGAAGTATATTTGGAGATACATGCTACCAAGGGAGACATGCCTACATGCTACAAACACAGATACATCCACTGTTAAGACCGTTCATCTTCAGTGACCATGAGACCTAAATACTCCACACGTGCACGTACAGAAAAGCGTATGTCATACCTTGTTGACATGTGTCATACGTCCATCCTGCTGCGCATCCTCCAGGGCATGTTCCAGTGGTCTTGTTACAAATGGCATCATCAAGACAGTTTCCACACTGAGAGGAGCAGTTGATACCATAGGAGCCATCTGCACATTCTGTACAATTATATATACAATTATATAAAGACAAGGTGAGTGTGTGCATTTGTACTTCAAACAGTGACGTAATGAGCTTAAAAAAGGTGTATGTTCGTTTCCCTTCCACGCAATTTAACTGCATGAATATAATGTGTGAAACAGTAAAGGCATTGCCAGATTTGAGTACAGGTTGTTGCCACCAACATCCCGATCTGCACCAAATTCATTGCCATATGTACTGCTCTGGTTGCAAGATCTCCGCAAAGCAACGTTTTCTGGAGAAGGGGGAAAAAGATTTACAAATGAAATAAACAAATATTAGTGACATTTCATGATATTACTCATATCCTTTACTTCTTACTCAAGTTTCTGGCAGTAGGAACCAAACCATCCTTCCTGACATCTGTCTGGATCACCAACCTGGCTACAGGGAGTAGAGGGGAACACGGCACAGGCAGTAGTGGTGTTACAGTGACACTCGGCATGTGTTACAAAAAGCACCGCTTATGCCTTTATTCTTGTTTGTTTTTCTATTTAATCACGTATTTACTAAAAGTTATATATGATAGGTATTATAGGTTTCGGGGCTAGTTCTTCTTTTTTTATTTTTGTAAATACTTCCTCTTGAATAATGGTTTTTAACGATGTTCCTTTATTTTTGAATTTATATTCAATTATCAAATATTTTATATTATACAATATAGGTATAACAGCTTTCGACCTGTTTAATCGCACTATGAACTATGAAACTGATATTGACATGTATTTGGCAGGAATAAAGTTCCTACCAGTGAGGGTCACAGTGACTACAAACAGTCCCATCCATGACCAACCCATGTTGGGCACCTACATGAAAAGAAAAGGAAAAGCAGTAAAATCAGACAGATCGACGTTATCATTAGAATAGAGGATACGTGTCCTGTAATAGGAATACCTTGGTGTTGTTTGTCCTTATTAAAGATTTCAATCCTAATAAAACATTCCGGCCTTTACCTATTCTTTATTAACGTCAAATTTGTTCTCGTCACGATGTGGCTTAAACATTGCCGATGTGACGTTAAATTTCAACTCACTCACTCACTCATTCCGGCCTTGTAACCCCTTGGTCATATACTCTTCACAAACATTTAAGCAACAAGTATTTTCAGTGTTATATCTTTATCAATATCGATAGCGATTTTGCCGACTTTTTACTGAGAGGTAAATATTCAAAGAATACATAACTTTTAGTGACTGTCAAATTGATTTATTAGATAACATTGACAACATTACCCGAACAGAACCACCCTCAGAAACAACATGCAAAATGTGTGGCATGAATGTGCACCACTCTTCACACATGCACCCTGATCGGTGTAAACCTACCAGTAATCATTCTTCTGTTCAAACAAGCGGACCCAAACTTCATTCTAATGGATGATAATGTCCGTCCATGGATGATAATGCCTGAGAAAGATCTTGCTTAGATCAACAACAGCACACATATGGACTGGCCTGCAAGGTCACTTGATCTGAACCCCATCGAACATGCTTGGGACATTATTGGAAGTAGTGTTTACGATCTCCATGTTCACTCCCAGACTCTGGATGACCTTGAGCAGGCGTCACAGAGGGAATGGCAGAACATTCCACAACAGCAACTTTAAAGGCTCATTTGGTCAATGCAAAGACGTGTCGAAGCTTGCATTTGTGCTCATGGTGGTCATTCGCGTTACTGACCACTGCTTCACTGTTCAAAACTGACTTGAACCTTAATGTTAACATTTTGCTCCATCAATGCGGCACATTTTGCACGATTGTGTCACGGGTACATGCTTTTGATGATTTGTAAGTCTATTATTGCTCAATACCCTTTCATTTCATTTTGTTAATCGTGTGTACATATGCTTCACCTTTCTATTGCATTATTCCATGATTTGCAATTTCAATAAATGAAAATGTAATGATACTAAAACATTGTGTTGCTTAACTTTTTTTGAGGAGAATATAATGCCATTCCTAAGTTATGTGGTCGAAAAAGCTGTCCTTATTTATACACAAACATGATATATTATAAATATGTTAATAAAAATGATAGTTTCAACTGAAACCTTGGTTGTTATAGTGGTTTAGGTGCATTAAAATTCAAGCGAAAATACGAATGCTCCAGCATATTGTTTGCTCAAAC